ATGTTGAGGTTTTTATGTTTTAATATCTAAAAGTAGTCTCTGCCTTCACTATTTTCTTTTTTAGGCTTTTTTCTACCTTCCTTTTTTTTTTTCTTTTTTTTTTTAATGTTGAGGTTTTTATGTTTTAATATCTAAAAGTAGTCTCTGCCTTCACTATTTTCTTTTTCAGGCTTTTTTCTACCTTCCTTTTTTTTTCTTTTTTTTTTTCTCTCTCTTTTTCTTTTTTTTTATAATTATAGCCTATTTATTCTTCAAATGAACTTTCACAATAATTTTGTTGAGCCAAAATTTGTAATTAGAGGATACTGATTAAAAGAGCATTAAATTTATAAATTAAGTTGGAAAGTATTCAGTGTTTCCATCCAGAAAATACCTATTTCTTCATTCAAGTCTTCTTTCAAACCTATCAATACATGTTTATAATTTTCTTAAAATAAGTAAATCTTATTAAGATTATTCTTAGAAGAGCTGTAATTTTTGTGAAAGTGTAATGTCTTACTATGTTTTCTAATTCTTTTCTATTGGTATATCCAGTTGCTATTTACTTGTATGTAAGATTATTTTTCCTGAAATGTGAGATAAAATTACCACTCAAACTATAAAAATAGAAAAGGTATATGCCTTATTCAATAATGTTCAAAACATTCAGAAAAGATTTGGGTCAATGTGAAAGGCTACGCAGAAAATATGTTATTCTTATTCACTGTTTACGTATGTTGTAGTTACACATTCAAACTGTTGTCACTGATGCATTTTCACCTAATTTTTCCCATAATGAGAGAGAACAGAGTGTGTTGGTGACTGCAATAGGGCCACCTCCCTCAAATTACGTTGCTCTCCATGACCCATCCTAAGACTCACAGTTCAAGCTAATCATTGACAGAGCTTTACAATCACAAGCTTTTACTGAAGCGTTGATAAGACAGTCCAGCAGTTAGTGGCAAATGAAGCCAGGCTGGGCGGCAGGATCTCTAGGGAATGAATGGATTTTCTTCAGCACCGATGAAAGAAGCATACGCTACAGGAAAACAATGTCCAACGGGGGACTGCAAAGGTCTGTCATCCTGTCAGCATTTATTCTGCTAGGAGCTGTTACTGGACTCTCTGGAGACGGAAGAGCTATATGGTCTAAAAATCCTAATTTTAGTCCGGTAAATGAAAGTCAGCTCTTTCTCTATGACACTTTCCCTAAAAACTTTTTCTGGGGTGTTGGAACTGGAGCATTTCAAGTGGAAGGGAGTTGGAAGAAGGATGGAAAAGGACCCTCTATATGGGATCATTTCATCCATACACACCTGAAAAATGTCAACAGCACAGGTTCCAGTGACAGTTATATTTTTCTGGAAAAAGACTTATCGGCCCTGGATTTTATAGGAGTTTCTTTTTATCAATTTTCTATTTCTTGGCCAAGACTTTTCCCCGATGGAATAGTAGCAGTTGCCAACGCAAAAGGTCTCCAGTACTATAACACGCTTCTGGACGCTCTAGTGCTTAGAAACATAGAACCTGTAGTTACTTTATACCACTGGGATTTGCCTTTGGCGCTACAAGAAAAATATGGGGGATGGAAAAATGAAACTATGATAGATCTCTTCAATGACTATGCCACATACTGTTTCCAGACGTTTGGGGACCGTGTCAAATATTGGATTACAATTCACAACCCATATCTAGTTGCTTGGCATGGGTATGGGACAGGTATGCATGCTCCTGGAGAGAAGGGAAATTTAGCAGCTGTCTATGCTGTGGGACACAACCTGATCAAGGTATGGTACAGCTGGCTTCTTCTTACAGCTTCAGAAAACACTAAGAAATTTACCTTCTGTTTAAATAATTCTCTTTATTGAAATCAATGCAATTAATTTTAGGCTAATTCACAAGATGTATCTTCAAATTTTATATTTAAAAGTAGTGTATGTTTTATTTATCTAAGCTATTATTAATGTATTAATCCAATTAGTTTCCTCAAAAGTTGAATTTTGAGGCTATTTTTAAATCTACAATTATACAGTAGGGTGTGAGAATATGAGATTACTTTCATTCTGTGGAAAGCTAGCACTTTGTAAATTTAATTGTTGGAACCCTTTTCTGACAACATGCAATCATTCCAGGGTTATGTTATTAAAACAACAGTAAAATCACAAGCAAAATAATAGTTAATATTTACTGAGTGCTTGTTGTGTACCACAGACTACATTAAGCTTTTTAAATGCATTGTCACATCTGATCCTAATAACAACCTTATGAGCTAAGTGCTACAATATTCCTGTTTCTAAGATGAGGAAACTGAAGTTTGGTGAGATTGAATACCTTGCCGAAGGTTACAGAGTAAAATGTAGCACTTGTGAACATGTGATTTATAAATGACAACATAATTAACACTGTCTTTATTAAGAATATATTTAAAAGAGTCATCTTCAGGAATTTTCAGAGTTAGCCTCACATTGAGGCTAATATCTAAAGTCAGATATAACTTTTCGAGTCAAATAGTTTACTTGGGAAAAAGAAATTGCTCTGTACACCTCTTATATTTTAAAAGTGAAAAAAATTATCAATTTTTTTAGGGGAAGTAATTTAATTTTTAATAATCAAATGTTAAATATATAGAAATAGGAAAAATGTACAGAAACATAAAACTTCTCCATGTCTAAATTTATACATACAAAAATATCTGCTAATCTTTCTTTTCTTTTTGAATGTTCTGGATTATTATACATGTACATTGTACTATAGTTTCAGCCACACCTGCCCTTGCAGTAAACAGACTGCATTATGATTTCAAGGTCATTTGCACATCTTTG